ACCAATAAACTGTGCAACTACTACCATCTCTCCCTGGATGACGTGCCCCACCTTTTCGACTGCCCTAACAACCCTACACCCCTCAGCACCATAAGCCTTTGGAGCACTGTGCAGAGAGTTGATGAATATTGCAAGATCTTTGGCGACACTTCAGTAGCAAAATTTATGCCTTCAGAAGATCTTGCCGACACATTTAGATTGAAATTCTTGCATTTAATATATTTGTCAGTCTTTGGCCAACTATTTAAAAAAAGTAAGGTTTCTGATATGTTGGATGGATCACGATGCAGTGAAGCTTGTCTGGAAATCAGTTGCGATGAGTTCCCGCCAAAAAAATGTAAACATCAAGCTTACAATTACATAGTTGCGGTCACATTAGAGAATAGGGCGGTCAGACTGCATTATCACATGTTCAGTTGACACTTGCTGTACAATCAGACTGTTTCTAGAAGAAATTAGTTGTTTGTGGTAACACGTGCATCACGGTGCATGCAACCTTGTAAATAAGTTCGTGGCTTGTAAATAGTTTTTCATTACTCAGCGTAAATGGCTTTTCATTAAAAATTACCCGGCGACGCTTAGGGCTTAAAAACCCATATATTGGCGACGCTGCATCCACCCTCTGCGCCCTGGACATTAGAGCGATCAGACTGCATCATCACATGTTCAGTAGAAAAAACTGCTGTGGGTTTTCCCGCGCTATCATTCACACGAGGCGGTTTTTCATGCTGGAATCCATCAGTCTTGCAGCGCTGTTCTCCGTAAGTGGTCCTCAGTTTTTGTGAACTATATCTATAAATGGCTACTCATATCAAAGAAAAGAAGGCTCTCTTGTTATATTTGCTGTATAAAAGACAGCAAAGAAAGAAAAGGAGGAGCTGGGTTCACAATATACTGTAAAATGGGGTAACTTTGACCACTTTTTTTCAAAATGATGACATTTTTTTACTAGATAAGTTAAACTTAAATTGAAACATGCAAAATACAGGTCTATACTCTAGCTTTACTCACCATAAATTGCTGGCTCCTGCCTCTCATAGTTTTGATGTAATTTCATAAAAAGTTATGGTATTTGTTACCCCAGCTCTTGGGGTTTCTTTGACCGGGTGATAAAATCAATTTTATTTTTTGGTAAAATAACTCCAAATAACTCCAGGTTGTGGTGCATTGTAGTAGAACTCTTCTAGTTACTGTAATTACATATGCAAAAGACAAATTTTAGGAAAGTGTCACAGTTTGCAAATGGGGGGCGCCGCCCCCAAATGGGCGAAATGTGACCATCTAATGGCAGCCGTGATGGGGTAACATTGACCAGTTTGGAAATTAAGTTAAAATTACCATATATAAGACTCTAGAGTCTGAAACATAAATAAAAAACATTAATAGGTGTATCAAACATAAAATATGTTATATAGGTACCTATGATAATTTTAACCTAATTTCAAAGCTGGTCAATGTTACCTCGTCATGGCTGCCAGCCTGCCATTAGGTGGTCAAAGTTACCCCATTGGGGGGCGGCATAGTGACAAACCAGAGATTTTTTAGAATCAGTTCATTTTTAATTTCCTCACTTACCCAAAATTCAAACCAATTTCTTATGTATGATGGACACTGGACAGAGCTGGGATTCAGGATACTTTACTGGTCTACTTATAGGACTCAAAAATGAACTTGAGGGAGAGTCTAAAAAACTCTCTGCTTTGCCACTATGCATGATACTTTACTGGTCTACTTATAGGACTCAAAAATGAACTTGAGGGAGAGTCTAAAAAACCCTCTGCTTTGCCACTATGGGGGGCAGTGCCCCCCATTTGCAAACTATGACACTTTTCTAAAATTTGTCTTTTGCATATGTTATGTACTAACTAGAAGAGTTCTAGCTACTACAATGCATCAGAACCTGGAGTTATTTTACCAAAAAATAAAAAAATTGGAAGGGGTACTCCGACAGGCTTTAAATAGGCCTAATAGCTCTTTTTCATGGGTCACATTTCAAATTTTTTAACCTATTAGATAAGCAAACTTTTTAAATCTTTCTATTGTGTTACAGCTACATAGGTAGCCTTGGTATTAGGCCTTCGATGGCCATTGACAAAATTTTTTTATGTCAAATTGTTTTTGAGTTTTGGGGTTTTTTGTTAAAAAAACGAAAAGTGGTCAAAGTTACCCCGCCGGTCAAAGTAACCCATTTTACGGTATTAAAATTAGGGCCACAAGAAGGTGAATTTGCCACACTAGGCTATTCTGAAAATGAAGAGAAGATGAAGTAAAANCTTGACTCAATTAAAATGGTGCAAAATTACAAGCCATCCTGTAAGCTTACAGATACAGAAGAAATGCTATACAGGTGCTGATGTGAAGCTTGCAAAGGACAAGTTCATTGTCATCTTGTCAAGTTGTCAATGCTCAATGGCATGTCCATGGATGCAGTAATATCACATCAATAAAATATTACAGTAATGTATGGATAAGGCAATATCATATCAATAAAGAAAAAACAAATACAAATCAGAGAAAATGTTATTTATTCTACATTTACATCAGTGGTTCCCAAAGAGGGCAGCACCACACCCCTGGGGGCTGGGAAAAATCACATCAACACACAGATAAGTGAGGTGAGTGACTCACTTGAGGCGTGGGGCATTGAGCATGATTCTGAGTAACTTATAGTGGCGTTGGTGATGTGATAGCTTGGTGATGATAATGCAGTACTGGTACCTTCACTCATTTAGGAGTAAAGTACTGGAAGATAGTTTTTTGGATGTTCACAACAAAGCACACATACAAATGGTGGTGAGGAAGAAAGGGGTAGTAAGGGGGCATCACTTGAAAGTCTATGTCAGAAGTTCAAACGTTTGTTTGACAATTTGTACACAAATATGCAGTACATATGACTCCAAATCAAAAAAAAAAATCACAAATTAAAAATCACTGCTTAGTAGCTAGGTATTTATATTTAAAATTTTGTTTGAATCTGTTCAGCAGCTTTGAATAAATTCTTTGACCACTGCAAATTTTGGTCCATATTGCCATATAACTCCCAAATGGGAGTGAAATTTTAAAATTTTTCATGAGCTAAACTCCTAAACATCACCCTTAGGTCCTATTGACTGCTCCAAGTTTTATCAAGCTGCGTTCATTAGTTTGGGAGATAGGGTACACACGGTATATTCCGACACTTTAAGGACGTAGCAAAAAATGAATGGCTATAAAAAATACATTGCATGTGCAACTTGCATTCTGTTTGCTTTACGTCACTCGAAAAACACCGCACTACACGCCAGCAACAATGAAACGTCTCAAAATGTTGCCATATTTATTTAAAAGCCTTTAGAATGCAAACCTACCAAATCCATATATTCCGACACTGTGTGTGACCAAATTCGGCATTTTGCAGGGCGCCAGCCTGAAAAAGTTTGGGAACCACTGGTTTAGACTCTAAACGGCCTAAACTTTAGAGGACACCGTAAAATTTGTTATGGCCACACTCAGCACGTCGATTCAAGGATGAATAAAAATACCATTAAAATACTCTCTCTATTCCAATACAAAAAAAATATATTCCTATCATTTAATATGTTAGTCTGAAAACAAATTTGGGCTGAGAAAAGCCATCGTCACTCCAAGCCATGGTTGAACTATATAAGGTTGACCCACGAGAAGTTCCGCCTTTCAGTTCAGCTTTCTTGTTACGTCACTGAGATCGAGAAACGTATCAAACCCGTCATTCCCATGACGGATTGGTCGACTGGATTGTTCCCATTTCGGCGATTGGTTAATGCCCGTGACGTCACTGAGATCAGTGACGTCACAGGCGAACAACGAACTACATCCGCAAAAATGGGCTTCTGTTGGGTTCAACCTTATACTAGTTCAACCATGACCCAAGCAACCCCCACCCAGCACAACACTTCGGTCATTAACCGATAATTCAAGCAATGACTATATAAAGGTAGACGACATGACTGATGCTCAATTTATTAGATGGTAAGAACAAAATTATATTCCGATTCCTGCTACAAGTCGACGCAGAAAAATTTTCCCTCTCTATATTTCTAATACAGAAAAAAATTAATTCAATTTTTCAGAATGTTACATCAACGTTATTATTTGTTGATAGAAATATTTCATTGAAGCACGAATATATTAATGAACACTAGTAAACTAGCCTAGCAGTTCAGCGAGTACAATTTTCAAGCGGTAATGCAATTTGATTGATCACTTTATATCCACAATTATATAATTTCATGTTTGAATTCAGAATGTAGCGATAATGACGAGTTTCATTTGACAAGATCAAACGACGTCAAATCAATAAACTAACCGCAAAAATGTTTAACTTATTATTCGAGGTAGAGTGATCAATATATTTGAAACAATCTTGTTTTTTGTGAATTTGAATATCACAAGATAATAAAGCCAATATGGATGCAGGAAATTGAAAATAAGGACTATTCTTACTATTTGAATGAAGCCGAAAAAAGTCCGATCTCATGTAAACCCATGTGCAACACCATATCGCTAAGCGCCCGGATGTCGTTTCAGTTACATCCTGATGTTTAATTTATTTTACAATTTATATTAGATCTTTCTGAGCTCCAGAGTTGTTATTATTATACAGAAGCTATAGCAAGAGAATGATAGATTGGCAACCCTTATATTATTACTTATTGAGAGATAGGATTAAAGGATGAGGCACTATGAGGTATTAGTACATTAGTTGTGAAGGTATAGTTAACGACACTATCGCAAGTGGGTAAGCGAGTGCCGGAGCCGTTAGACGTTTATTCTTAGGCTGCGAATGGACTGCAGCCAAGAGGTGCTGGCCTATGACTGCTCGTGTCCAAGCTTGAACAGCTTATGCAGAGAGAGCCACAACGTCACAGAAGGCGACGCAAGAGACAAATGAAATCGTGGGCGATGACGTTCTGTCACTAAGAGATTTCATTTCTGACAGAGATCAGGCTGGTGGGCGCTTTTGTCGCCACAAGTCTTAACCCCAATTAAAAAAAAATAAGAGATTTCATGTGAGACAATAAAAAGAAAAAAAAATGGGAGCATATTAATTCGGTAATGAAGAAGATGAGAGGGTAAGAAGGATTCTCCTAGAGAATCAATCGCATGACCGAGGTTAGTGCAGATCTCAGAGACAAACCATGATTTTGATATGGTATAGACTATAGAACCAAAGGTTGGACGGCAGATAAGTAATATCTTAGAAGACAGGCCTTAATTTTGAGTCGAAGTAGAAAAACAACCAACTGAAAACAAAACTACAAGAAATTGAATGAATCTTGAATTACAGACGTGTTATACTACAAGGCGGGTTTGAACTATAAATCATCAAACTGAATTTCACCTTATTTTCAAATGAATTTCTCCCTATTTAAAAACTAGCTATAGCATCGAAATTTCTTAACTTAAATATCCTTTGAAACGTATAAACTAGAAAACATCTGACTCATTTCATTGACGTCATTTGGCATGAACAATAGAACAATGAGAAGACTAGGTTGCTTGTCCACCACCTGGTCAGCTCCACTCATCGTATCACATGACTGCAGCACAAGCCAGGATAGGCTCAGTATAAACGATGGCCGCCGTAGAGCACATCTTCTGCAAGATAAGTTGAAGTTGTGAATCAGGAACCCTAGTTTGGGAAAGTCTTGCAATGAGGATTCAATGATAATTCAGTCTATTAGTCAGAATCCGCACAGAACTGAATTAAAAATATTAAAATTAGGTGCATAAAATATAAATTGATCAATATTCACATTGAAGAATCGGCACTGGCAACCATTCGGTGTACATTTTAATAATTAAAAAAATATATTGTGATTTGACACGAATTCATTCAGTAACGTCATATCTACTCATATTTACATGTTCCGGAAAAAAAATTCAATTCGATTGTAATTGAGCGTGAGATAGATCAACATTTCGGTTCTAGAGCTCAGCTTCATCCATGACTGCTTCAAAAAAAGGTGCTTTGATGAAATAGCTACTCAATAAAACATTAATTTAAAGCTGTGCATTCCAACGAAAGCTTAAAATCGTCTTGAGACCACGAACGTACAAATATCTTTGTCGAGTGGATCGTCACATAGCTAGTCGTCGTCTCCACCATTTTCGTCGTGGTCGGAGCTGGAGAAGGCGTAGTCGTCAGAATCATAGTTGTAGTTGTCGGGGTACATGTCTCTATAGAATTGTTCTTCGCCATCGGAGTCCAGGAGGCTCTCGCCATAGCCAGCCGTCTGCTGAAGGAATTCGTGGCCGAATTCCAGCCACTCGTTGTCAAAGCGACACGACCCGACGCGCTCGTAGATGTACGAGTCCAGCTTGTGGTCTGAAACAAAAATACATTCATGCATATCAAAACGATACATCTAATTGAGGGCAATTCAACTTTAGTGTTAATTCCTGAATGCTTTGTAATAAATGGGAAGCTCAAAAGGCAGCAGAGTTAATGCAGGCTTACGTAGGTGAACCAAAGAAATTCAACACAATAGCCAGCACTATCTACAATATTTAACTAAAGGGATGCCGAAGTGCATTGAAGAACATATCAGACCAAGTGCAGAGAACATATATACTAAAAATACCGCATTAAATATCAATTCATCATGACTTATCCGAAGAAAGTTGAGACAGGTCACTAGATATGCTCCAGTATCAGGAAAAGGTGTGAAAGCAAACCTTTGATTTTGATGAAAGGATCTGCGAAGGTCACGTGATGGGCGTAGTTGACATGCAGTACGAGGGGCTCGTCGTGGTCGAGACACTGTGAGGGGAACCTGAACCTGCCCTCGGCCAGCGCCTTCCTGCGCAGCGCAGTGAGCTCCTGCGCCGTGGCGAGATCCACGGTCACCATCGCGGCGCCGATCTCGACCAGCTGAACGTGGGCCACGAGTCTGCAGGGCAACACGCATTAGGGAGCTGGTCTACGGTAGCGGCACGGCGGGGACTGGCTAGGAGTTAAACGAGTATGGAAACACAATTACGAGAGTGACAGCTTCATGTGGACATGACACCTTCATGTGGACATGACACCTTCATGTGGACATGACAGCTTCATGNAAATTAACGCTTGTCTGGTAGTATCCTTCCGCACGACTGTAAACTAACTGAAAAGCAGCAAAATTCTTCTAAAAATAAAAAATACGGTTTGTGACGCTAGCGAATGCATTAAACTCACTGCAATTATCGAAGAAGAAGGCTCACGTTCCGAACGCTGCGTTGGAAGCGGTTGAGAATGACGAAGTCGCAAAGCGGAAAGGTGGCTGCACTCAACGTCCAGACTAATCTGCAATGGTATCGACTTGGATAAAGTAATTTCATTATATATTATGAAGTGAAACCATAAATCTTTCTTAATCATTGAAATATTATCTTGCCACCTTCATCGGTAACGTTACACCTGTCTCTTATACACATCTAGATGTGTATAAGAGACAGATCTTATCCGATCTAATAATAATATGTAGCACCTGCAACAACAAACACGCGTTTTTTGCCACTCAAATAAAACATCAAAGGGATAAACAAACAATTACATCACAGGATTAGTTGACTAGGATTAGGGATTGTGACTAATCAAACAAATCTCAGTACACACGTATAAGACAGTAGTCTTGGCCAGAATTTCTAACGATGAATTCTCGTTAGCTTGCAACAATTTCCCACCTTCAAGTTATTGAATGTCTTGAAATTGAGGGTCTTAAAAAAACAGGAGTAATCAAGCTGAAGTTGGGCCAGAGTAGGACACTTGCATGCCAAGTAGGAGAGAGTTGCCTGATACAGAAACTGTTCCCTGCACGCCAAGCAAAGCAAATACCATATGTAAAATAAATGGAGGATAAACTAATTATGAATTCAGTACCAATAGAAGTCGAGTCGCTCATGAGGAGCATCAAACATTGAAATTTCATAAAAGCCAAGCACTAGTTACGTTCCTCTAAACTGTTTTTTCCTTTAATCTGTTTTTACTCTAAAATGTTTTTCATCAAACCTATTTTTTCTTTCAAACTGTTTTTTACTCTAAAATGTTTTTCCTCTAACCTATTTTCCCTGTGACCTGTTTTTCCTTCAGTCCGTTTTTACTGTAACCTGTTACATGGCATCTGACTCTTACGAATATGGAAGCAAGAAGTTGCTGAACAGCCGGAATGTCGTGAGGCTAGAGTTGAAGGGAAAGTCTGGAAAGCTATCGTTATATCCCATGTTTGAAAACGATTGAACGTTGTGGATCGAGAGCTCTCTCAGAGGAGCTTGCAAGTCCCGTAGAAGAGCAAAGTTGAGGTTCGCCAATCTGCCAAGCCGCAACACCTCCAGGCATTTGCATTGCTTCAGGTCTCGCAACAATTCGTCAGAGTTGAATGTGCCCTGCAAAATTATTCATTCATTAATTGAAAATTCGATGAGTAGCAGAAGCCCAAAACTGCCATCATATCAACTTTAGAGAAATACTTAAGAAACAAAATTTTGTTCAGCAGATCAATACAGAGTAAAGGAAAACTGTGCAAATTGCGATGGGATAGAATACGCAGGTTAAAAACGGTATAGATGCAGACACTAGTTGCATGACACCATGCATGATACAAATCCGAGGTCAATGCACTATTGCTACGACCCAGAACTGACAACTCTGCCATTCGAGCCTCACGTCGAGACAGAAAATCCTGAGTTTTGAGCAGCGCGAGAAGATGGTCTTCATGGGAGTGTAGTGCCTTCTCTTTGACGCGAACTGCAGGCATAAATCTTCCAGGTTCACAGCAAGTCGACCTAAAATAATAAAATTTCAGCATTTTCAGTTATTTGGACAGGCTCAGCAGTCGTTCACAAAGTCGACTATACTGTTTTTTACCTATTTAACCTTACCTGTCCTAACAGTTATGTTTAACCTGTTCTGTTTGACCTGTTCTGTTTAACTTGTCTTTATTCCTAGACTTTCATAAACAAAGAGAATAGAACAATCGAATGGAGCAACATGAATTGCAATAAAAAATTTGAATATCCGTAATGGTTTTGTAACTGAAATTTGTAGCTAAATATTGTAGTTGATGGGTCAGATTTTGAAGAAGCATGGACACATTCAACTGCGTACCTATAGCTTCAACAACGTTGACATCAAAGATGCACCAATACTCGTCGAGTCTGAGAGTAGTGAGGTGGTTTGCGTTCATGATGAGCATCTTGTAGGTGCAGAGCTTGAGTTCCTGCGTGAGCTGGGCTGGTGACTTGCTGGAATGCAGAACAAACGTGACTATGCCAATACACATTATTATTACAAAAAAATGCAACACAAGTTTCAAGCAAAGATTTGGGAGAAAGAGTGGATGAAATAGTAGTTACTACAAGTACACTCGAGTCAAAAACTTGCATAATTTATAACCGATGAAAAAATTTAAAGGAAAAAATTATAATTATGAATATCAATAAAAAAATTCAGTTCATGAAGAAGTAGTAATAGAATGTTAGAAAAGTGCTTCAGTTATCAAGGGGAAGCATGTACGTCAGAAATAGACAATTTAGAATTTTCCGGTTGTCAGGCTCAAAGAGCCCAAAGCCATGTTTGTTTATTCATTTGTTCATTCACGGCAGCCGTTGAAGCGTGGATAAAACCTATACCTTCAATGATCTCAAATTTCATTTTTTTTGGCTGCTGAAAACTTGAAATATGCATTATAAAAATCTATCTCCTATGATTTTCAAGCTACAGCATTGAGAAATACACCGTTTAATTTGTTAAGGCCAGATCTAGCGACCAACCGGTCAGATTTTCTTTTTTGTTTGGATTATATATTGAAAAAATGCAGGGGAGAGCAGCCAAAATTAAAACAAAATGCAGAAAAATCACAAAAAAATGAAAAAATGATTGGACGATTGCTAGATATGGTCTTAACGAATAGAATATGTCCTCAATGTTGTAGCATGTTAATTGAATGAGGAAATAAATTTTTACAGTACCTCCTTTTTATTATTTTCTATGAATTTCATGTTATCTTTCATTTTTACATGAACAAAAAAGATCCGTCAATAAATAAAAAATTTTTTTGACGTACATGATCCCCTTAAGCTATATCACACAAGAAGTTGAAAATAAAACAGGTATTATTGCAAATTTATCAAATCGTTACTCCTAAGTGGCAGTCTTGTCACAACACGAACACTTCCCTCGTAGTATCAGTCATACAACAGCACAATCACTTCCATGTAAGGACAGCTGGCCAAAGCCCACCTCTGGCATTCGGAGAGGTTGGAACAAGCACTTCGCCAGGCGCAGACATCATCAGTAAAGTCGATAATGCCATTCTGGCCCAGCTCGCAGTGAACCAGCAACTGAAAGCGTCGACAAACTGCGGGATTGTTTTATAGATTATTATTATAATAATGAATAATTATTATTAAAATAACGAACCATTACATAATAATTTGAAGAAATTATTTATGTTTAATAGATTGAAGTGGTGTCATGAGAAATGTTAACACCATAAAAAAATTATTAAAAATTTGTAGTAGATACATTTGACAGTAAGCATTCAAACTATTTTGCTCCTACTTATCTTTGTTGTTTAGTCAAATTTACATATTCTATAATAATGCATGATATAAAACAGTCTTAACTTAATACCAACTATAAGTAACTAACATGATAACTATAAATGGAATGGATTGCTAAGAATGGCTGCTGAAAGCCTGAGCTGATTAGCCGTTTCATTCATGCAACTTACCTGCTTCAAGAGTCAGTTTTTCAGCAACATTCAAATATTTCATAATATGAAGCAAGACATCATCATGGAGGACATGAAGTGTAGGCTGTCCACTGCATGCAGGGTTCAAATCAAACTCTTCACTGGACAGCTTATGAGTCTTGTAGTGCTCTGAGGAGGGTCGTGATGTGTCCGAGTCATGAGATTGCTTTAACAATGCTTTCCGCTCCCCAAAAAACACTGCATCATGACTCAAAATTCTGAAAAATAAGTCTGCAATGAACTTTAAATTTTAAGAACTTATAATCAAGTAAAATGGAAGAAATAGTTTTCGATTAATGTAATCAACGCCATCTTGAAACAAAACCTTACTTCCTTGTTATCAGTATCTTATGTATCAATACAAGGAATCCCATAGCTTCCAGAGTAGAACTATTTTTCCTTAAACTCATTTTTATCGACCTCATATAATATTGCTGTTTGCAATTTTCAGAAGTGGCCAAGAAGTTATTGAAATGATGGTTGCAAGTAGAACAAATATCAAGAAAAGGTCAGCCAAATGCAGTAGAATCAGTAAGATAAGGCAAATGTGTAGTTGAATGAATAGTTAAAATAGAATGAATGAATAGATGAATAATAATGAATTCTCCAATGAATTGATAAAATGTAATAGGTGGAACAATTTAAGGTGCTAAATGCAATAATTAGAGTGAAAAGGCAGGTTTTTATACAGAGAAGAATGTGGCAGTGAGGCCAGCAATGAAGCCAATGACAATTGAGGTGCAAATAAAGGGCTTTAAAGGTAGACTGAACCAAAAAAAGACATAACATACATTACTATGATTTTGGTACCCTTAAAATCCATGCATTTGGAACTTTACTGAAAATAACAGCAAGTTGGCATGGATATTGCAGCCATCACATCAGAACAAATGAACCTGTTTAAACATCTAGCCAACCCCTTGCTGCCTCTCCACTTTCCCAGAAAACCACTTCTGGTGTGAAACTAATTTAAGATGCTAAGAATTTGAACAGAATTTAAGAAGGCATTACTTTCATACCCAAGCAAGATCAATTAGTGATGTCATCAGAAAACATAATTGAGAAAATTGAGGTATTTTTCAGCATTCAGTATACCTAGAATGAATATTAAAAAAATTTAGGTATTTTCCAGCATTCAGTAAAGAATTAATGCT